CCTCCACCATTAACTTATAACCATTTCCTTCCTCCATTTGAGAGATATATCGTCAGCCACATCATTATTTTAAAGTGTCCATTAGACATTCACTTCTACAGATAAATCAACTCTAAACAGTAACACTGAGGAGGGACTGGCATACAAAAAATAATAACTGTAGAAGACACAATCATAACCAATTGATAGGTCATTCGATTATAGGAATAAAAAGGCCATTGTATTGGCCACTGATCACAAAACTTTTATAGATATATAGAAAGGAAGTAAACTTCCTTGCATCTGAATACTCTTATGATCATGAGCAACACCAAAACTTGCTTGACCACAACAATCAACATGAACAGGTTTATCAAGAAAAAACAAGATACTCACTCCCTAACTTTCCAATTATGTAGCAACACAATAAATGAGTGTGCCGATTACCTTGATCAAGATGTTAAAAACAATGAAGTCTTATCATTTATTTCTGAATTATCGACAAATACAAAATGCAAAGACTAAAAAGGGAAAATCTCAATGCAGAAAGCTATCTCGACTTTGCAAAAGTAGAGGTGAAGTTCAATTGTATACAGTCTTACCTTCGCACTTTCACAAAGAGTTTGCGTTTCCTAGACTCAACGAGTGACCTTCTGATGGGCCTAAAAGTGAGTGGGTCAGTAAGTTAGTTATTCTAAAATATTTTGTGAGTAGGATAAAAGGAAGGGAGGTTGCAGAGTGAAGGTAGGAATTGAGTATTGGTTTAGTGGGAAATTTGGAGATCTCTAGGGAACTCTTGGAGCCTAGGTATGTTGGCTTTGAGGGGAGTTGAGGTCTTTGGTGTTTATTTTCTACCATTAGTGCTTGTAAGGAGCTTGTCTCCATTTATATTGTCTTCAATTACAAATTAAAAAAATTAGGTTCCATCAATTTGATATCTGAGCACTTTCGATCTAGAGGGTGCTTTCTGGTCCAGATCTGATATATATAAAAAAAAGGAGGCATCAATGATTTAGAACTTAGAGAAAATTTGAAAAAAAATTGTAAAGGCGTTTGATGAAGCAATTGAGAGGATTGAAACCCAAAGACTTGAATACGAGAAGATGAACTCATAGTGTTAAAAAAATTGAAGAAGAAAACTAAGAAAAGAAGGAAAAACAGCAACTGCAGAAGATGGAAACAAAGAAGAAGAAGACAACGCAGATCAAAAAATGGAAAAAAAACGTTGCAGAAAAGAAAAAATGGAAGATGAAGAAGGAAAAAAAGGAGAAGAAGAAGAAGACGAAACAAACACAGAAGTAAAAAGAGAAGAAGAGGCAAAATTCAAAGCGAAAAAGATGAACAAAGAAGAAAAAGACGAAGAAGAACAAGAAAAAGAAGAAAAAGAAAAAGAAAAAGAAAAGATGAAAAACCAGAAAAATAAGATGTAGAGAAGGAAGAAGAAGAAGATCGAGAGAAAATAGATACTGGATAGGGCAAAAATGGGGCAAGTAATGTGGGTGAATATTATAATTGGCCAGCATTACAAACCAGGTCGCTACTAGTGCAATAAAATGGCACAAAATGACAGCTAATGAAGTGCGAATTGGGCCTATTGATCGCGATCCAAGAAACATTACTCAACTTGGATGGGGCATTAGTAACATAGATAATGTAAGGAGAACTGAAATGCAAACAGGGGCAGGAGAAAGTGGGCTACATCGCACGACCCAAATTTTTCTAAATGAGGGTATGACTACACAAGGCAGCTCAATGTTTTCAAATAAACATAGTGTGGTCGATAAGGACTCTGTGGAGAAACAGGGAACAGAGTCGACGAAGAACAATACATAGAAACATTACGTTGTGGTAGGGGATGGCTATAAGGTTCGAAGTCCTAGGGTGAACAAGGAGGAAAACGAAGACAAAGGAAATACTGATAGAGGAGGCAATGGTGACCGGTGGACAATGCGACTCCAGCGACTGTCTCATGTAGAAACGGCAAAAAATGATGGTGGCAGAACGACTGCCCAATTGGCAACACGCAAGGAAGCAGCATACAAGACTCCAACGACGTCACAAAGGTGACGTACGGCAGCGAGTGGTGGGGGACGAGATTCCGGTTGCCGGACGAGATGGCAGAAAGGAAGAGGAGGAACGTTAACCTTTGTTTTCGATGTGATGCCTTATTTTCATCTGATCATATATGTCGTAACCAGCGTTTACATATTATATTCTTGGAAATAAGGCTGATGACATGAACCTTGAAAAGGTAGACATGGTGATGGAGGAAGAAAGAGAGGAGACGAACCCGAGGTTAACCATTTATAGGATGGTGGGGCTAATTTCTCATCCTTCATTAAAGGTTTGGAACAAAAGCAAAAGGAGGAGGGTTGCTGTGTTAATAGACCCTGAGGCTTCCCATAAATTCTTGGTAGTGCAAGTCGCTCAAGAACTGAAGCTGCTAATGTGGTCAAGATGCTTCAAACAATGGGACCCAGGTAAAAGCTCTCTCACATTACCTGTTCTCTTTTTTCACTTTGAAGACAAGGTGAGTTTTGGAGGGGAAGTATTGATGGGCCTAAAAGTGAGTAAGTCAGTTAGTTAGTTATTCTAGAATATTCTGTGAATAAGATAAAAGGGAGGTGTGGAAAGTGAGTAGGCATGTATTGAGTGAAGAGTGGGGAATTTAGGGATCTCTTGGAGCCTAGGGTAGTTGGTTCTAAAGGGGAGTTGAGGTCTTTTGGGTTTATTTTTTTGCATTTTGTGTTTGTAAGGAGCTTGTCTCCATTTAGGTTTCATCAATTTTACAGTAAATAAAATCGGGTTCCATCAATTTGGTATCAAAGCACTTCCGATCTAAGGGTGCTTCTAGTCCAAATCCTTGAGAAGATGAAAACCAATATATATTTTGAAGCATTGGAGAAGGCCAGCACGATGGAGGTCATGGAATTGATGGGGAAGATGATAAAGACCATAGATGCAGGGGAAGAGAAGCAAGAGTCTCTAGCCGTGGAAGCCAAGAAGTAGCATGCGCATGGTAGTGATGGTGATGATGATGCAGAAAAGAAAAAAATTATAAAAATGCAGAAGAACAACCAGAGAAAAAGGAGGAAAAAAAAAGGAACAAGAAAAAATTAAAGAAGAAAAGAAAGCACGATCTGAAGAAGCACACAAAGAAGAACAAAAAACAAAGGAGGAAGATTGCGACTCGAATCCAAATAGAAAGACGAAAGAAATGCAAAAAACAAAATCAATGACCAAACTAGAGATGGAGGAAATCAAGAAAAAAGAAGAACGAAATGAAATGAAATAGACAAAGAAGAAGAGGAAGCAGACAAAGATGTTGATGCAATAGGAGAAGATAGTAAAGACGGAGAAAAAGAAAAAAAAAAGTTGAAGAAGATCGAAACAGATCGAGATTTGGGGAAAGCCGAAACAGATCGAAACAAATTGAAACAAAGAAAGCTGAAACAGAAATAATAGAAGAAATAGAATGAGAGAGAAGAGGAGAGAAAGAAGATGGAGAATGGACGAGGTTGCATCTCCATGGCCAAATCGATCTGGGTTATGTCGCCATGAATCAAATGATGGCTTTAGCGTAGAAAGTGGAAGTTCGTTTACAGGGATTAACGGACCTGAGCGGCATAGTCCACTAAGGCAGCAGGTTGAAGAAAGCGAAAAGGGGCGCAATCGGGTCAGAGCTCTAGTAAGGCGTGTAGGGTATGAGTCAATCCAAGGAGTTAGTCATTAGAGCTGTCCAACACCTACGTATAAGGCCAACAATTAGTTAAAGGTGAAGGCCAACTGTAATAACGTTGAAGGTAGAAGAGGGCTTTTTAATATAGGCCCACGAAATGGAACCCAATTTGTTTTTAATATAAGGCTAGCAATCAGTTACTCGTTTTTGCATGTATCCGTTTAGTCTAGAAGTGTTATTATTTTGGGTATAGTGAATCGGGAATATACGGTAGGTGAAGGTCATGAAATGAAAATGCTGAAGTTGCCAATTGGGTCAAGATGCTTCAAACAATGGGACCCGTGGAAGTTTTCTCGCATTACCTGTCCTCTGCCTTCACCTTGAGGACAATGTGAGTTTTGAAGGGGGAGTATTGATGGGCCTAAAAGTGAGTGGGTCAATTAGTTAGTTATTCTAGAATATTCTATGAGTAGGATAAAAGGAAGCGAGGTGTGGAGAGTGAAGGTAGGAATTGAGTATTGATTTAGTGGGGAATTTAGAGATCTCTAGGGAACTCTTGGAGCCTAGGTATATTGGCTTTGAGGGGGAGTTGAGGTCTTTGGGATTTATTTTCTGCCATTAGTGCTTGTAAGAAGCTTGTCTCCATTTATATTTTCTTCAATTAAAGATTAATAAAATTAGATTTCATCACCCTTCAATCACAAAGAAGCAACCTTACCACTGCTCCTAGGCATGTCTTCAAAATGCAAAGAAGACTATTTTACCAAATTTCTCAAACAATGACTTAACTAATTAGATAATTTACTAATTTATATAGGTTGGGACATAAGAGGACTGGCATATAATAACTATAGAAGACACAACGTTAACCAATCAACAGTTCGTTTGACTGTGGGGGAAAAAGGTCATTTACTTGCTTCTTTTACCAAACTATATATATATATATATATATATATATATATATATATATATGGGTAAAGGAAGAAAACTTCTTTTCATCTGAACACTCTTATAATCATGAGCAACACAAAACTTGATCACCACAGTAAACATGAACAGGTTTATTAAGCAAAAATAAGATGCTCACTCTAACAGGGTTACTAATATTTCTTATGAGCTTGGAGCACTGAGAATGTTCGATGAGCTGCTGCCTGCTGCTACAGCAGCACCACATCTGATATAAAGTCTTATTTATATCATATAAATGAAATATGCATTACCTTATCAAGATGTCAAATTACAAATCTGATTTTTCACCTTGAACAACACATGGAGAAGACAAGAAGCTAAAACTTTGATATCCACAGAAATGGAAATTGGAAACTATGTTTAATTACACCTACCAGATTACAGCACAGAAAAGTATTGGGAAAGATTAGCAGCTCTGCATCAGAAACCGAGGTATCTGATTGTGTCTGCAGATATTTAAACCAAGCTTATTTCCAACTATCTGTCTTGAACTTATGCAAAGGTGGCCTCTGTTATCAAGATGCTAGATCTTAGAAATCCCTGGTTCTTAAGGACTAAAATATCCTGACTATTCAAAAATTTGATCTAGAATTGATTTGTTTCACATGAGGCATATTGGCAAAAAATTCCTTCATGGTGGGTATCACTGCTTCTTCCTCGTGAATGCAGAATTTTTTCCTTTGATGAGCGCTGATAATGTTTGTAATGTAACTCTCGTATGCTCCAACATCAAGACTATCTTGGAGGAAACCTTAGATAGTGGAAAGTTGATTACATTGGATGCCAGTTTTCAATGAAATACAAGCTCAATGCAAACAATTATTGGACTAGCATTATAGTTCCCCTTCAGATCCTCTTTACTCACCCGTTTTTAAAATCCTTCACCACAGAAAAAAAAACAAAACAAAACAAAACAAAAACAAACAAGAAACATAAAGGTATTAGTTCTATTTCTGGAATCAATTAAATTTACGTATTAGTAACAAACAAGCATAAAAATAAAGGTCAAACTTATATACACAGTAAAATTTACAAATGTTTGAGGAACTGTTCCAAATTTATTACCAATTTTTAAATAATTTGATGTTAGTCTCAGGAAGCAGTAGATTTTAAAAAATAACCCAAATTGAGTCACCCATTTAGACGAAGAGCTCATCTACTCCTGAACAAGAGCTTCCCCAATCGACAATGACTCAGATCCTGTTTTCAGCCGATAATGGGTCCCTGCCCTCTTTTCATGCCATGCTAGTTTTCTTAACTGTTTAATGTATCTAATCGCTTTAGTTTACGCATCAAACTAAAAGATTCTATTTAATGAAATAAAGATAAACTACCACCAGTAGAAACTGTTTAATGTATCTAATCATAACGGAAAAGATGAAAATAGAAGACTGAAAAGTGGTGAACATGACTCACACTTTATGAGGCCTGGACTTCTTAGAGCTGTAATTTAGCACAGATCTGCCAATGTTATCTAGTGTTGGCATTCTCTTTGATATAAATGTAGCTTCCTCTATTCTTCCCCCTGCCTCTAAGGCGGTTATAAGATCATTTAGGCATATCAATTCTTGATGTAAACCTTTCTCCACCAGTTCATAGCATAAACTAAATGCTTCTGAAACCTTGTTAATCTTACAAAGGCCCAGAATAACTGCATCACACAAATCAATATCAACTTTTTGATGATTTTCCAAACTAAATAGCAACATTTTGCATGCTTCTGATAGTTTTCCTCTCGTGCAAAGAAATTGAACCACATTTTCTATTTTAACACAATATCCATTCTTATAAAGAAGCTCAATAATCTCAAATGCTCTATCTTGAAGTCCTCGGCCAAAAAGTAGCTGTAAACTCTCGGTTGACAGGTTTATATTTTGTCTGATATTTTTCTCCAGCATCATGACAATAACACAGGCAGACTCATGAACACAACCTTTTTCCAGAAGTCTCGCTAGTAAAGAATGCCAGGTAGATGTTTTGGGGAGATAAGAGCTCTTTAGCATTTTCTCTAGTGTCTCCTTTGCAAGAAGAGGCTTATCCTTCCGAAGAAAACCATCAATCAAATAATCATATATCTCAACATCAGGAAGATAATCTCTTCTTAGCATCAATATCAAAAGCTCATATCCATTTTCATATGCGCCTTCTTTACAATGCCCCATAATCATTGTCTTGTATGATAAGGGATCTTGTGTGCCCCTTTTCATTAGATGTCTAAATACCCTCTCACCCTTCTTAGTTTTCCCATGTTCGCACAAATACTGAAAAATTGGACTATAAGAGGCAGCAAGCGGCTTACAGCCAAAATTGCTTAACAAGATTTCCTTCTCAAATAACTCATCGAAAAGCATCTCTGCCTTATCATAGTCCCCTCTCTTACACAAACTCCTTATCAGAACACTGTATGAAGCTGAATCTGCTGAGACCTGAAATTTTTTCATATTTTCAAACACCTTCAGTGCTTCATCCAGGTTTCCTGCACAACAATGTGAATGAATTAATGTATTGAAGGTACATGTATCTGGAATAAATCGCCCATCGCCTATCATTTGTTCCAAAATATCTTTTGTCTTGTCCAACTTGTGTGCCTCACATAGTCCTTTTATTAGAGTATTATAGGTAATTACATTTGGCTTAAGGCCCCTACAAGTCATCTCTTCAAGAATAACCAAGGCCTCATCTACTTCATGTTTCATACAATACCCTCGAACTAAAGTAGTATAAGTAACAATATTAGGATTCAAATCCTTGCATTTCTTGCTCATACCATTCACTAAATTATGTGCAGTTCTTACCTTCCCTGCTCTACACAAACCATCAACTAGTGTATTATATGTAACAACATCCGGATTGCAATTGAAGCTCGTCATTTCTTTAAAGAACTGAAACCCTATATCAACCATTGAATTCTTACAAAACCCTCTGATCAAAATATTATATGTATATGTGTCTGGAGTAACACCATATGTGCTGAGCATTTCATCATACACACCTTTCACCATATTGGTCCTACCCCTTCTAAGCAATATAGACAAAATACTGTTGAATGTAACCACAGATGGTGAAACACCAATAGACTTCATAGTCTGAAAAAGCTTCATAGACTCTCTGAACAGCCCAGCTTCACCATAGCTCCTAATTAAGCTATTGAAGAACCTGTCATCAAGCTTGACTGCACCATTGGACCTTTTCTCAATGGAAAAGAGGAAATTCCTAGCTACATTGAGATTTCTCTCACGACCCAGAATTTCTAACATGATGAAGTAGGATTGGGCATTGTGAGGGAAACCCATTTCCTGTGCCCACTTGAAGAAATGAAAGGCCTTGGATGGGTCCTTGATACGGCGAAGAGTTTGAAGCACAGTGGTTTTAGAGAGGGTGGTGGCGAATGAAGAGAGCAACCCATTTGACCAAGGTTTGAAATTGATGAGATTAGCCATTGTTTTAGCTGTTTTACTTGTATTTCTTGATCTGGGTTTTTCATTTTGGGGGAGTTCTTCAACCCCTTTATGGTTTTCTATGTGATCAGAACAAAAGCACCTGAAATTCCAAAACTGGTTATGAGAAGAAGAAAAAAATGGGACATAAAAAAAGAAAAGAAAAGATTTAGAGAGGTGCACCTATGAAAAGCAGAAGGAAGGTGAGAGTTAAAGTTGAAGATGGGAATAAAACACCGATTCGCAGAAACGTGTGATGAGAGACTCCAAGAAACCATGTTGAAGCAGTGACCTCACTTCGTCGAGTGCCTACAGTAGCTTTTGAACCAAACGCCTTTCATATCCTCTTTTGCCCACGATAAACACCAAAAACGATATTATTAAACTCCAATCAGGCATCCGTCGGCTTTTTTACGAGTATAACTCTTAATTAATAATTAATTATTAAATTGAGTTCGTTATAAATTATTTTAAAAATTTAGGAGTAAACACTCTTTTTTGTCCCTGGCAATATCTACGAAGTCCTTTTCAGTCTCTGGCAATAAAAAAAGGACCAAATTGGTCCCTGAAAGTACAAGAAAAGGGCCACTCTACATATTTGGGAGTTGACAAAAGGACTAACATGACCCTTTTTTTCTAATTTCAGGGACCAATTTGGTCCTTTTTTATCGCCAGGGACTAAAAAGGACTTCGTAGATATTGATAGGGACTAAAAAGGGTGTTTACTCCTCCAAAAAATATAACACCAAGAGTAAATACAATTTTTAATCTTCAGCAAATTTTATGATACTCGCTTTAGTCCCTAGTAAATAAAAAAGCTAGTCATGGTCCTTAAAAAATTTAAAATGGACCCATTTTAGTCCTTTTGAGGACTAATATAAGTCTTTTTTAAATTTGTGAGGGACCACGATTTCAACTAAATGAATCCATTTTGAATTTGTCAGGGACCACGAATAGCCTTTTTATTTGCTAAGAACTAAAGCGGGCATCGAGAAATTTGGTGAGGACCAAAAATGATATTTACTCTAACACCAATTTGCTCATGATACCCTCCCTACCCGGGTTTTTTTTGAAATTTTTTACCTACCCGGGTAGGGAGGGGGATACCCGAGTATATTTCTTGAATCTGGGAAAATGCTTGAATTATTTACCCGAGTAGGGAGACGGGTACTCGGGTAAATGTCAGCCAGAAACCCCAATATCAATGGGTTTCGGCCATTGTTGCCAGGTATAGATTTTTTTTCCCCAAATCTCTCTCCCTTGACATCTCTATTCCGAAACATCACATATATATTTCATCTCATCATCTCAAAAAGCTTAATCTTGGTAGGACATTGGCATTACACCTCCACATTCCCATTTTGTGCTCAAAAATCCGAACAAGATCCAAACTCAAAACCTAGATCTAATTTTCGTATGAAAGATGAGTTCAAGTCCAAACATGATTCCTATAGTTATTTACTACAATGGGAGGCAGCTCTACCCGAGTACCCCTTTGTGAGTTTTCCAAATGGAGGTTGCTGGGTTATATAAAAATCCTACCCGCGACATTTACCCGGGTACCCCCTCCTACCCGGGTAAATAATTCAAGCATTTTCTCAGATTCAAAAAATATACCCGGGTATTCCCCTCCCTACCCGGGTAGGTAAAAAATTTCAAAAAATACTCGGGTAGGCTTGGTGTTCAACGGTCAAACAGGGGCAGATTGGTGTTTTGTTTTTTGGGGAGGTTAAATTTTCGAAATAGTTTAAAATGAAGGTCAATTTGGTAATTAATTATTAATTAAGGGTTATAGTGGTCAAAAAGCCAACATCCGTCCGATCGAGATACCTAGTGAATGAATTATTAGTTCAACTATTATATTGTATTTATGCCTATCTTTTCTGTGTTTACTTTATATTTATTTTTAATATTGTTAGATAAAATAAAATCTTAAAAAAAAGTAAAGATTAATTAAAATTCTGATATTATGATATTGAAAATAAGTAGATAATATTTTCTAGTGTCCATAGTTGTAGTTAAGGGATCTGCATAGTTGAATTCGGTTCGGTTTTTTTGCCAAACCAAATTGAATTGGAAAAATAATTCAGTTCTTAGAATTGAATTGGTTTATTGGTTCAATTCAGTTTTAAACTTGTTCATAACCAGTTCGGTTCACTCTAGAACTGATTTTGAATTGATTTTTAAAATCAATTTTGAATCTAAATATAAATTACAAAAAGGTTGAAGGAAAAAAAATAAAAATAAAAATATATATATAAATAAGGGGAATTGTTTTTCTCTTACGGTAGAAAGCATTGTCTCGTATAGAGACATAATTTAGTTGGCCCCACAACTAAAAAAAACTTCATTTTTAGCCATTGTGATTCTCGGTTCATGATTTTTTCAACCATTTAAGTTCTTAAATTGGTTTTGAAAACCAGTTTGGTTCATAAATCAATTCAGTTTATGAACTAATTTTTTAAAAATAATTAAGTTCAATTTAAAAACTAATTTTTTCTAAGTGTAGTTCAATTAGTTCAATTCAGTTTTTTTGTTCTTTTGCACAGCCCTAGCTGTAATACCTCTCCCTTGTGGCTCACCAAAAAGTTGTTTACTATATAAAACATTCAAGCATTCTTGATAACTTTATTTTCCATTTAACATGAATCACATAAACTTTATAAATATAGGAATAAATATTTATCCTTTTAAATAATATAATTTTGCTTCAGTTTAGTTGAAACGTTGTCATTTTGGTACATAATTGATAATTTTTTATATTCTCTCTCCTCCATAATATTCAGAAGAGAGAGAAAGTGGATGAGAGAAAATATAAAAAAATATCAATTATGCATCAAAACGACGTCGTTTCAACTAAAATGATACGAAGTTATATCCTTTAAAAGAACAAACATTTTTCCCATAAATATAAATGTGTACAACTTTATTATTTTTAACCAATAGAAACTGCCGGTGTTTCTTAAGGCATGTTTGATTGTATAGGATAAGGTATGATAGTATAAGACATTATTGAATTTTAATATTATCCAGTGTTTGACATGGTAATGTATAAGATAATACCATCCATTGTTTGGTAATGCACTGTTTAATACTAAATAGGATAATAAATATTTTTGATAAAAAATATTTGTTAATAAAGAATTTAGATTCCAAAGTTGTAACACTTCTCCCATGTGGCCTTTGTGGCTTGATGCTCACCGGCAAGTGTACCGATCGCACAAGTAATACAGTGATAAGAAAAGTATTGTCTCCACAGGGATTGTGATCAAATATCAAATAATCATTCCTTTTAAGACGGAAAGAATTCAAATAGATGTGAAAAATATCGTGGATTTGAGTAACAATAAGAACTAAGATAAAAACGTATTTTTAGATTTTTGTTATGAAAAATAAAACAAAGATTGATTTTATAAAATATAAGAAGGTATTGTAGCTAGAGTGCACTCACCATATGATCTCACATTTTACTCTGGATTGATTTAAAATAGTCATTTAAATAAATACTCAGATAATTTATCATCTAAAAATATTAAATAGCTAACCCTCAATTCCTTGCAAGGTTAACCCTTTAACCCCAATTGAAACCCCAATTCCTTGCGATGTTTCTCATGAAATTAAGCAATAAGCACGATAAATTAAACATCTGCAATAATTTATACGTCTATTCCTAGCACGCATACAAATTGTTATCCTACCCCATTTCAAGATCAAAAATCCCAATATTCATATTTAGGGTTCTTACCCTCAAATTATCATCAACTATTAGATTGATCAATTCTAACAAAGAAGATAGAAATTACGCACAGAGTAGAGATAAATATAAATATATAAAAGAGTAATTATAAATCAATCTGTTGTAACAAGGGTTCACATAAGGTTTGTGACCCTAACTACAATAAAGAGTACTAGCCAACCATGATCATGGTTGACATAAAATTATAAAAGATAAAGATGAAAGAATGTAATTACAAAAAGAAGACTAAGAACAATTCTCTGTTCCTCTCCTCCTTCTGGAATCCTTGTTTTTCTCCGTCATCGAAAAGTGTCTTGAATAAACCCTCACAACGTTCTTTTTATAATCCTAGTTCGCTTCTTCCAAAATTGCCCTTTCAGAACACGGTGATTTTTCTCGCAAACTGGCGCGGGATCGCACCACTATGGCGCGGAATCGCGCCACTTCTCTGGAACGTAGGCCTATGTAACACCTCACAAATTGTTATCCTACTCCTTTTCTCGCAAACTCAGGACATCTGATCAAGGGTAATTAAAGGACAATGGTTAATGTTAAAAATTAGAGTTTCTAAATAGGTTATGAATTTACGGACATTTAGCGGATTAAGCGGGAAATTCGAATTAGTTTGAAATCGCGTGAGGTGACGGTGGGACCCACCCCACTTAAGTCACTTAAACACACATGCTCCATCACTATTCATCATCACTCACTTCTCTCTTTCTCTCTCCAAGGGCCGCGGGTTTCACCATTGAAAGGGGGGGGGGGGAAGTTGCCATCTTCAAACTTCATCATCCAACCACCAAAGTCCAAAAAGTTTGTCACCAATCTTCGAGTAAACGACGATCCGGACTCAACCATACCATCCATTAGCCTTGAAACCCTCCCATTTGTGAGAAAGAAGAAAAAATCAGCCATGAATTTGAGGAGTTTTTTTGGGGAATTTGGGGTTGTTTGCTCAAGTCATTGCTTGGGGATCAATTGGAGGAGTCTTGTGACTTAATTGTGGGTAAATTTCAACACCTTTCATGGAAACCTAGGGCTTGTATGCTTGATTCATGGAGTTAGAGAGCTCAAATTGAGATTGTGTATTAGATAACTATGTCTTAGAATGATGTGTGGGAGTCATAAATGCAGTAAAATTTATTGGTGAAAAATTATGATAACTTAGGAAATTTTAATGAGAGGTCCATGACTTTGTGATTTTCAATTGTTTTAGGATTTTGAAATTGAATTGTGGTATGATTATATGAGTTAATAATAGGATTGTATGAGGTGTGAAATAGTTGAATTGAATGGAAAAACCCTTGATGTGTGACAATAGGCATTTCGACCAAGAGAAGGAAAATTGGGAATTTAGGCTTGTGAAATTGTTGGTTGATGTGTTGTGTGATTAAATGGTGATTAGATGGGTTGTGCGATGGTTGGAAAATCAATGAAAATATTGGATAGTGTGAAATTGTATAATTGAACCTAGAGCCAATTAATTAGCAAAATGGTGTTTGAAGGATGTAGGATGCAAATTGGCACCTAAAATGATATTGGGGTAGCCTTTGGATGCCTAAGAAAAATAAAAAGAAAATTTA